TGTGGCAGGTGCCTATAGTCCCAGCTACTTGGGAGGCGGAGGCAGGAGAATCGCTTGAGCCCAAGAGTTGGAGGTTACTGTGAGCTATGATGCCATAGCACTCTATCCAGGGTGACAGCTTGAGGCTCTGTCTCAAAAAAAAAGATAATAAATACAAAAGAATGGTTGCTATGAGGCAGTTGATTACAGAGGCTAAGAGCAGGGCATTGGAGTTAGGGCTGGTTTTGAGTCCCCTGCTCTGTGACCTACTGACTTTACTCGCTGAAGCCTTGATTTCCTCTTGTAAAAAAGGGGAATGATTATAGTATCTAGTAATCATGGGGCTGTGGTGTGGCAAAGGCAGATACGCTGCTCTTAATACATATTAGGGGTTATTGATGTAAATAATATTATCCAGGTTCCCAAATCTTGAATGTGTGTTGGTATAGTGGCAAGAGCTGAAATCTACCTAGAACTTGTAATTCTATATGCTAAGAATTTACCCTAATGAAATAAGTAAAGGTATGCTTGGACGTAAGAGCAGGGCCTTATTTAATGAGGAAAAAAAAACCCATTGGTTTAGTAGGGTTTTGACATTTCAGTGTTTAGGAGAAAGTTTAGCCTGGGCAACATAGCCAGACCCTGTCTGTAAAAAAGAAATTTTAAAATTAGCTAAGTGTGGTGGTGTGTGCTTATAGACCTAGCTACTCAGAAGGCGGAGGTGGCAGGATAGCTTGGATCCAGGAGTTTGAGGTTGCAGTGGGCTGTGATAACAGCGCTCATTGTAGTCTAGCTTAAGCAACAGAGAGGCTATCTGAAAAAGACAAAACAGGCTCGGTGCCTGTGGCTCAAGTGGCTAAGGCGCCAGCCATGTACACCCAAGGTGGCGGGTTCGAATCCAGCCCAGGCCCACCAAACAACAATGACGGCTGCAACCAAAAATTAGCCAGGCGTCATGGCGGGCGCCTGTGGTCCCAGCTACTTGGGAGGCGGAGGCAGGAGACTCGCTAGAGCCCAGGAGTTGGAGGTTGCTGTGAGCTGTAATGCCACACAACTCTACCCAGGGGGACAGCTTGAGGCTCTGTCTCAAAAAAAAGACAAAACAAAACAAAAAAACTTGATCAATACATGGATCTATAAACTACGGGATGTTCCTTCAACTGAGTCCTCTTACAACTGAGCAACTGAGCAGAACGGTCCAAGATACAGGATGATACATTGTTAAGGGTTAAAAAGCAAGTATCAAAGCAGCGTAAACAGCCTGAACTCTTCTTAGGCTAGGGGTTACATTTGCTTTTTTTTTTTTTTTT